AGGTCATAAGAGTCAAACCAATGTGTTATACTCCTCGAGATAGAGAAGAGTTTAACATACAGATTGAAGAATTACTAAAAATGAATTTAATTCGACCTAGTAAATCCCCACATAGTAGTCCAGCTTTTCTAGTAGAAAATGAAGCTGAAAAACGAAGAAAAAAAAGAGGTATGGTTATTAATTATAAAAAATTAAATGATAATACAGAAATGTATGGGTATTTTTTTACCTAAGAAAGAAGAATTATTTCATTTAATTAAAAATATGAAATGGTTTAGTACGTTCGACTGTAAGAGTGGATTCTGGCAAGTCCTTCTAAAAGAAGAAAGTAGAAAATTAACAGCATTCAGTTGCCCAAATGGACAGTTTGAATGGAATGTTGTTCCTTTCGGGCTAAAACAAGCTCTTGGATTATTCCAACGGAGAATTGATAATGCTCTATGTTTAAAAGACCCGAGCAAAGAATTTAGTAAAATTTGCACGGTATATGTTGATGATATAATCGTCTTCAGCAAAACCGAACAAGAACATTATAAGCATGTTATATAAGTGCTAGAACAGTGTCTTAAAGTGCTCAAAATAAGATTAATTTCTTAGGACTTGAAATTGAAAATGGAAGTCTAACTATGCAACCGCATATCATGACAAAAATTTCTGAATTTCCCTCAGAAATAGGAAATAAAAAGCAACTACAAAAAGTTTCTTGGAATCTTAAATTATGCAGAAGGCTACATAGCCAATTTCACAGCAATACGTAAGCCTTTACAAGAAAAAATAAAAAAGGATGTCATTTTTACTTGGTCATCAAGTGATACAATGTATGTAGAAAAGACAAAGAAAAAACTCAAAATTCTACCCACATTATATCACCCCTAAAGAAAATGATAAAATGATTTTGGAAACAGATGCATCAGACTCTTACTGGAGCGCAGTTTTAAAAGCAAAACCAGTAGACTCTACTGAAGAAAAATTGTATACTTCAGGAACTTTTAAAGATGTTGAAAAGAATTATCATAGTAATGAAAAAGAATGACTTGCAGTTTTACGGGGCATTCAAAAATTCAAATTACATCTTATCTCCAATAAGTTTTTAGTAAGAACTGATAATAAAAATTTCAGTTACTTTATTAAAAATGAATTTAAAGGAGATTATAAACATGGTAGATTGATTAGGTGGCAATTACACCTAAAGCACTATCAATTTGATGTTGAACATATAAAAGGTGATAAAAATTATCTTGCTGATTGTCTAACAAGGGAATTTGCAGGTATTTGATTGAAAAAACAGACACTTGAATAAGATCATAAAAAAATTGCAAAATCAAAAGCAAAAAGGACCAGAATGAATCTTCAAGTTGAAGAACTCAAATTGGAAATCATACAAAAAGAGCATGAATTGGAAATCTTAAAGCAGAAATTGAAGATAATACAGTTGAAATATCAGACAGAGATGCTTTGGTGAAAGATCAAAAGACTCAATCAACTTTTATCGAGGATGAAAGGGCACCTAATTGGTACACGGTGCACACCGGACCAAAAATTGGAGTCTATAATAGCGTCGAGAAAATAAAAGACTTGCCACCTGAATACTATCATACGACAAAAACTGAATTTGAAGCAAGAATGATCTTTGAAAAGCTAAAATACAAAATCACTGAGCGAGTACCAGTATTTCGTAACACTGGAATTCCTAAAGAACATCATTTGAATAATCCATTCATAAAATTTGATGAATTTAAAATGCAGCAACTGGATAGTAAGTTAATCAAAACTACTATAACCCAGAAAGAATGGCTCACATTATACGAAGAGGTAAACGCGAGTACAAGTGAACAAGGATATATTCATATTAGCAGAAATCAACAGATTAAAGCCATTCTGCTACCAGGAGTTACACCTGAAATAACAAGAGACTTGTTCTTAGGAGGATTCGTTGATACCCTCTACCTAGAGAACAGTTTAAGAGAGTTGTCATATTTTCCAAAAATCAAATAGGCGATCTCTCTGTACATGGAAAAATGCAGAATTCGTGAAAATAACAAATCAATTTTTGTCAAGATCTGGATTCAATACCAGACTGGAACGAAGAAGAACAATACCCAGCCTACCGTCATATTCATGTTGGGGTATCTGGAGAAGTGAAACCACCAGTACCACTGGTACAAGAAAAACCTCAATTGACAGAGGAAGAGCTGAAATTAGAAAGTGCAGATAGAATTTATTTTATCTTGAAAACATTAGAAAAAATAAATTTCAACAAGCCAAAGTAAAGTAAATTATTGCAGCCCAAATATTCTTCTGGTCAGTAATGTCAACAAAAAAATTGACAAACAAGACTTGGCCATAGTCCAGAACTGGCAGGATAATCTTATTCTTAAGATCTATGCCACAGAATCAACAAAGAAAATGGTACAGTCCATTGTTCTTACAGTCAATGAAGAGAAAGAAAAGCACCAGAAAAAGAAGAAGAAGGTTGCCGACACTAACGACAAAAGAGAGCCAGGCAAGTAAAAGGAAAAACATGTGGAGGACCCTACTACTTTGGAAAAAGGAGAAAACAGCTCAAGCAAGCTAGCTGCCGCAGAAGAAGGCCTGCCAGCCATTGCCATGTGACACTTGATAATTGAAGACCCTGCCACTATGTAATAATGTAACAGACAAACTCATGTGAAGAGTTTCTGCTTTTTCGTCTTCTTTTCATAATGCGTTTGGTGAGACGAAAATTTGTGCCGAACCCCAATAATTCACGCATTTTTAGTTGCTATATAAGGGGGTGCCATTGGAGTATGTAAGGCATCAATCCTCATATCCAGAAAAACGTCTCTAAGTTCTGTAAACAACTTTTAATATTCAATAAAAGAAACTTTAAGAAATTAGTCTAAAGAAACTATAAGCTTTAAATCCCAGAAGCATTTAAGCTTCAAACACTTAGAAGTTATCTAACTTCTGAAGAAAAAAGTCCAAAAGGACCAATAGCTCAGGCTAAAATTTTTCTAGAGATTTCTGGAGACACAATCGCTCGTCGGAGTAAGACTTGAAGTGAAGGGCTGTAAGACGACTTGGAGCAAGGTGTTTGGAATTTGAGAAGAAAAGCAGGAAGCTATGGTGGACCAATCATCTCAAACATACTAAAACAGAGAAAATTTTCAAATTCGAAAAGAAAGGTATAAATTCAGAACTTTTTGACAAAATTTTTAATAATATTGAAAATATCATGAAATTACTCTTAAACCTTGATAAATATGGAGAATTAAAAAAATTAGAAAGTAATCTTTTAACATCTATTAAACTAGCTATTCTATAAAAACTAAAATTCTAGAAAATGGTATTCAAAGACAAACTATTAGAAATAATAAATCCAGATCAAAAGATAATTATTACAATGATATTCATTCTTCTCTTGTAACTAGAGAAAAAGAGTTAGCTAAAATTATATGAAATTTAGAAAAACTCCTCATATAAGGAAAAATAATATTCTGAAACTAGCACTAAAAAAGAGTTCAAAAGAAAAAAAAATCCGCAAGAAAAGATGAGTTTCAAAAAGAGTCCAGAAAATGGTGTCAGAGCCTGGTAACAGGTGAAATACTTAACTAAAAATGCCACAAATAGATTGGCTAAATGCATGTTTAGCAAGACGTAAAACTCTTGAAAAGAAAATTGCAAATACAGCACCAGATTATGAAATACATGAAAAACACAGAATATTGGAAAGATAAGCTTGAATGTATAAATTTAACCATCCAAATCTTAGAAACAAACAATAGAATTTATTCAAGATTAGAAGAACAATTCTTTGTAAAATGTTTAGATCCTTGGAGATACAAAGAATAAAGTGAATAAGTTAATAGAATTAAATAATAAATTTAATAGATTACTTTTCTAAAAACAATAACAGAAGGCATTATGAATAAAGAAAATAATCTTTTAGATTACTTCTCAAAACACGAAAAATCAGGTTACTTAATTGAAGCCCTGATAGATGCAAATAAACTAGGAATAGCAGATCATGACTTAAAGAAAAATCATAATTTCAGAAATGAAAGATTAATAAAGAAATTAAATAACTTAGTTTCAAGAAAAAATGAAATATTTTTGGGAATTATTTCTGGAGAAGAGGCAATAGATACATATCAAACAAAAGGAAATGTAGTTATCCTTGTTATCTATAAGCAACAAATATTTTCTATATTGAAAAGTATTAAAGCATAAACTAGGAATAAAATTTCTTGTTTACATGTTTCTACTATACAAATGATTCTTAAATCAACTTATAGTCTGGGAATAGATTCACCTATCACAATAAGACTAGTTGATAATAGAATGATTGATTATTCTAATGCTCTAATAGCTGAAGGAAGTGGAAATCTAAAATTTGGTAAAAGTAAAGTTTAACTTAAACTACCAAGTGGGAATGTCTTTATTAGACAACAATTTAGATGACTCTATCACCTTGTCTTGGAACATGAAGAGAAAAATAATGATAACTGAAAACCATCCATTTTCAGTAACGTGGAGAATAAACAATGCATTGACTAACAGTCATCATAGTCTGTCATTCAAACCTTATGATAAAATTCAAATTGATGAATTGTTTTCACCTATATTACAATTAGAAGCGCCTAAAAAGTATTTTCAAATTCATAGAACTTCGTCTTTTGTTAGACCTAAAATAGACTACATTATTCCTAAGCAGAATAATAAAGAAAATGATGCCAATTCTTCAAAAATAGATACTTGTACTTAAGTAATCATAAAACCTAATAGCAAAATATATAAAATTGAACAAAAGGTTCAAGAGTTAAGTAAAGAATTAAGACTTAAAATATAATAAGTTCTAACAAAAAATATATAACAAAACTGCTTTCGTTATATTACAATGAAAAAACGAAAGAACATTCCTTATATAATATATATAAAGATATTTTTTACCTTTCATTTATTACATTTTATAAGAAATGCAATTGGGTTATTTGCACAGATAAGACTTTTGACTAGGGTCTCTTGAATAAAGATCCCCAAATTCATGTTTTGCGAAGGTTATTTCGGGAATTTCTCCTCATAAACCTATCTAAGCAGCAGCATCCAGAACCCTCGTAGAAGAAGCTGAAAATTTCCCTCTTTCGCTCAATTCCATGGCGTTATCGTTAATCCAATGTCCCAAAACCTCTAGACCCCCTCCCAATAATCGTCTTCGGAAAGTTGGTTTGCCTCCAATTCACCGTACATCTCTTAGGTAATATTCAGTTGTGATGATTCCATTGTCATTTTCTTTCATGCAGTGTTTTCCTTTGAGGGTTTTTATGTATTGAAATAAAAAGTTTTGTATTGCGTTTTTGTCAGCTTTTCGGGATTACAGCCACTGACCAGTAGTAGGGTGGTGGTTTGTGCTGCATTCTCTGCGGCAGGAAGTTCTGGTTCCAACGACGATGTAAATCCATATAAGGTGATTTTACGGTTATCTGTTTAGATTTTTGGAGTTTTATGCTTTATCTTCTATTGAGTTTACTTAGTGTCCAGGTTCTTGGTGCAAACCCCCTTGATGGATTTGATAGGGTGAAGGCAGCTTACTCAAAGAAGCGTAAGGATGCTGAGAGGAGAGGCGATGATGCTGCTCTGTCCCAAGTATACAATTTAGGATTTCTTCAATATGAGGTCTATGTAGTATTGTATATTCTGAAAGTTGATACCTATCGCTATCGTGATATTTTCAGTTAGAAAAGGCATATGACACAATAATGATGTCTCAGTTGACAAAGCGGAAAAAGGGTGAGACATTTGGTTCGTTTCAGGTATGTAAAGGCTTTATTTTGTTTGTTACCTTGCTAGAATATATGGAAGAAAGATACAATTTTTTTTTTTTTAAATACTTCACCTCGGATAATGATTGGTTCATGGTTTATATTCTCTTCGAAATGTGTGAATGCATGTGATATTGTTAGGAGTGTGCCAAAATCGTTACTGAGGCAAGTATTTGCTCACATGTTGGTTTAAAATTTGGATATAGGAGTTTCTGACTAACGTGAGTGAGAGTAAGTATTGTGTCAATTGCTAATAACCCTGCTGAATATTGTTAGAGTTCAGTATAAATTGGAGTCCAAATGAACACTTCATAAGCCCAAGACCCAACAATAGTTTGGTCATTGCTGCATTGTGACAAACTTATTTTTTCTTTAAATTTGGTTTTTCCCTATTTATTATTTTAACTAGCAAAATAAGTTTTGGCATAAAATGATGCAATAAAATGTTAGTTACTATTATAGCGTAGTCATTTTGTGCAAATTATTTTATAATTTATATTGTTGGAGTTTATAATTTTATTATTAAAATGAGTAACAAATATGAACTAACAATAGTATGGTAATAATTATTTTGATGAACTAGTTTTTGTATTGAGACAATAAGTGATATTAAAGGAATATCTATTTTATAGCAAAACTCAAATTGCATGATAGGAGGTGGGTTAAGTTTGGTGGGAAATTGCAGTTAGAAGGTTATGTTTTTGAGATTGTCTTACTATCTATATTGTTATTGTTTCCCCTATATGTGTTCCTTCCTTCGTTCAATCTTTTCTGTTTGTATGCTACAACATGACATGAAATCCTTATTCGACTTGACATTGTCCATATATCTGTCCCTCGTTCTCTAGATCTTTTCTATTTCTTCCTCAGTTTGTTTAGTTGTTTACCAACTCCACTTCAGATATATTAATTATTCTTGCTCTCTTTGGACTTTCTATTGAGAAAGCAATCATTGAGCATTGGCAAGGTTAGTCTCCTTTTATAGATGACTTCCTTAATTACAGATCAATCGTTCCCAAGTGTTTATGCATAGTAAGTGACAGTAGAACCATCATCATTTTTGTGTTAGGCTGTGCCGTCTTATGAAATGCTTTATCTATCTATTCTTACTACGCTGAGCTATAGATGCACTGCTATGGGGGACCTTCTTTTTATTTTTCCTTTTTCTAATAGTTAAAGGTGGAGTGATGGTCTAAGAAAGTGAGAGGTACTGGGTTTGAACCCTGATCCTTAATGATAGAGATCGAGTTAAACATTGCATAATCGTGGGGACTAATATTAAAGAATAAATAATAATTAATCAACTAAGGAAAGAAGAACAAATCTATTGATTTGGATTGATTTTATATCTAGATCAATTGACTTTTGATGATCTTTATTTCCTTACTTCCATAATTAATATCTTTAACAAATATATGGTAAATATAGGGTCTCTAGTTGAGGCAAGGTTGGCAATATGAATCATATTGTAATAGTTTTGGCTATTGAGCAAGATTAGTTCTTGTGGGCAGACAGAACCATTATTTTGGGAAGCTTTAAACTTATGGTTACTATTTCTCATTAATAAATATCATCTTTCTTTCTCTTGATTCTTTAATCCTATCACTTGTACGGATGAGCACAACACCCTTGAGCGGTACCATTTGAGCTACAAGCTCATGGTATGGGAGACCCTTTTTTATTGGAGTAAAGACTCACTAAGAGATGAGGACTTTTCTAATTATTTATATTCTTATTTTGCACAATTGCTCCTATTTTCTTGTTGAGAAGAACATTCTAAGTAAATTACCTCAATATTGATTAAGTATCCAAAGTTATATTGGATGATTTAAATGGGATGGAGGGAGTATTTTGGTAGGATGTGCAGCACCGTGACAAAGTCGTTTGCTACGGAATAAGTTCGAAGTTGGCCAAACAACATGGTCTTGTTGAGTGCCCGTAAGCTGTAGGGGAAGAGTTGCTGGGGATCCTTGTCAATGTGTCTGTGCCCTTTGGAGAGAGAATCCCCCCCACCCCACACCATAAAAAAAAAGAAAAAAAAAAAACAGAAAAGCCGACGCCTGCACGGCGAAGCGACCGTACCTGGCTGGGCTCGGACCGACAGCCAAAAATTTTCAGCGTGTTAAGTTGCTTTTGAGTCTTCTGAACAGACTGCCTCCCTGGTGGACCTATAAAATGGGATGGCCTTGAGAATCATACAGACAGCTTCTCTCACTGGTGGACTAAAATGTGCTCTATACCTCAGTCAGCCATCAATGAAGCAAGAATCCAACTTACAGCTTACCTCCTTTGGTGGGTTTGGAAAGCGAGGAATTTGTGGGAATTTCAAAGACTTTGGAGATCAGAGCAGGCAGTAGTGAACGTTGCAATGGAAGAATGGCTGGAGTACAACCAAGTGCAAAGTCTGCTGTGTGACCATTAGCTAGGTTTCTTTGTAGGCTTTTATTTCTTCTCTGTCATTTGCTTTGTTGGGTAGTCTTTTGGTTAGTTGTGTATGTTCTTTTATTCTAAGACAGTGTTGTTGTAGTTGAACTAGACTAGGGCTATGGTCAGTGGTCTAGTTCCTTTTGATATTTTGTGCTGGGCAGTTAAGAACATATCCTTGGTCACTAAGCTTTGCATTTGCCAAGGATTTGGTCTTAACTGCGTTTAGTCTTTTTCTAGGGCATGTATATGTTCCTCTCTTTCAGCTTTGTAGTTGTGTATTGGGCTACTTAGCTCCCCTCATGTACAAAAAGTTTGGAGTATAAAACCTANAAAGAACAGACTGCCTCCCGCCTTGGATGGTAGATAATTATTATTATTTTTTTTCATCACTCAAAGGGAGTTCAAAGAATAATGAGTCTGAAGTGTTTCCTCGTATTAAACATTTTATAAATCACATTCAGTCAGCAGAAGATAGGTGTGTGTGCAGAGAGTAAGGGAAGACATGGAGGTTGGAAAACTAAAACAGAAGAAAGTAGGTTGGGTTCTGGGACATTATTGAAAGGAAAAAAATTTCTCTTTTTCTGGGATTTTTTCTATTTAACTCTGTAATTATGTTCTTGCTATCCTTTGTATTCCCGCTATGAGAAACTGGATTATTTATTGATTCGAGCTGGGTATCTTAAGGAAGTTTTGATGCATCTCTATTGTTGTAGGGACATATTATGTGATCCCAGTATTGACAGTGCATGGTTTGGAGTTTCTCATTTGTGTTTTGTGCATGTTCGAATATCACTCATGAGTTGTTCCCTATTGATGTTATAGGGCAAATGGGCCTAGTGTGCTACTCCTTCCATCACCTATTGGTTTTGGGATGAAACCTCACTTAGGTGTCACCTTCACCACTATGGGACCACACCTCTTTCCCTGAATTTATAACTCTTAACAGTACATAAAAGGAACCATGTGACTGATTCATTGTTTTATCCTACTCGTTTACAAATCTTGGTCTCCACGAGTTACCATGGTGTAGTTGTCTTTTCTCTTTTGAGCTCTTTTTGACTCTAGGCTCTTCCTTTTTGATGTATTTGAAGCATATGGTTTGGGAACCATACTCAATATGTTTACGTTTGCCCTCGATATTTATTTAACATCTTTAGTAAGAGTGGAATGAAGCTTCGATGTTCCATATGGTTCTTATGTTTGTGTGCATGCATAATCGTAATCATGTTGCTGTGGTGGGATGAAGAGAGGAAATAGCTGTTCTAGTGAAATAAGTAGCCTTATGCGTGCATAAGTGTTGCATCTCTCAAACGACTAGTCTCATGAACATAGTTTTATAACTATAGGAGATGAAATGAGGTCAACAATCCTTCTTTGTTCTTTCCTTGTGATGTTATTTTCAGTAATTGGTTCTGTTATGTTT